TAAGTATTTTTGATCCCTCCAAATGGTGAGCCAACGCAATGCTTGTGCTCACTCACGTTCGTGCAGCTCACAGACTAACTTTGGATTGCCACCATGGACCCTAGCACCGGACGCCCATGATATATGCCTAAGCCAATGACTCGATGCTCGTAGCCAACCCTTGGCCATCTGTAGCCATGACCGGCCAACCACGGCCCACCATAGCCCACGAGACCGGCTAACTAAAAGCCGTATCGAGCCATAGCGAGCCATTGTTGGCCAGATGGAAGCTGTGACTCCGTCTACTACGAGCCGTTACCTCTGGATCTTTGAGTTATCGAACCTTAGTCGATGCCTTACCATGACGATGGAAAGCCCCGTCTATTATCTTCCCGTATATGCACATCTACCTTGTCGGACCTCAATCTCACCGACCACGTTGGTAACCTTTTCGACCACTTTGGCAATCTCATCGACCACGTTGGCAACCTTTCTGACCACTTCGGCAATCTCACCGACCGCGTTGGCAACCTTTTCGACCACGTTGGCAACCTTTCCGACCACTTCGGCAATCTCACCGACCGCGTTGGCAACCTTTCCGACCACATTGGCAACCTTTCCGACCACCTCCGCGATCTCACCGACCACGTTGGCGAAGCTCTCCGACCACCTCGACCAGCCTTTCGACCACTACGGTGATCTCACCGACCACCTCGGTGACATCTTCGACCACCAACGAAAGCCCCTTTTTGCTTATCCTTATACTCGTTCGTACACTTACGATACGTGATTTTGACCTATTTATATTTGTCTGCACCGTGCCCTTGTGCAGGTCTACCCATCCCCCTCGCTATGGGATGTGCTACTCCGCAGTCATGTCGAGTTGTTGCGTCTTTTTGGTCATGTTTGGTTCTTATCGCTGGTTGTTGGTGTTGTTGCCTGTGTGCCGAGCCTTCGAGCCGGCTGAGGGATCGTACCTCGTTCGAACGTTACGATCGCGGGATCCGTCTCGCCATGACCGTGATGCCGAGTGTAACTCAACCCCTCGCTTTTTAGTTGACTTCATAGTACCACGAGTGTTTGCTCCTGCCTTCGGCCCTAGAACATGGTCGTGATGGATTCGATGTCGATACTAACATCGATGCGGATATCACCCGCGCGCCTTGAGCCCTTCGTGACCAAGTTCTGTGGGAGAAAACCTAGGAGTAAACAATCGTGGAACGATGAATGCCAACTCGTTGGCATAGCTTGTGGCCGCGAGTTCACCTCGCCATGACCATGGAGCCACGCCTCTCTTTCGCTTTTAGTTGCTTCTTCACCATCACGTTTCTCTGATTCTCGAGGTGACAACCGCACCGCTTCGAATCCGAGAGATATCTCAGTGCCAGTGCACCTAGGTCGGGTACCCTACGAGTGGCTTACGCACTTGGTGTTCTTGAGTGTCGCTCCTTCTGATGCCCCGTCTTTCGTCGTGGCGCGAGTGTTGGAAGAAGTGGACCTTGCTCTTGGATATTCTTGCTCTTATTGCCCCGATAGCCGCTCTGTTGATTCCATCTTGCCCATGACGATTGGATCAAAGACCGGACTATTCCCTTTGGGTTAGCGAAGCTATGGTCTATGTCGTACCTCGGACCCGTGCGTGTCGACCCGATCAACCGTCTAAAACCATCTTCCCCGAAGATGTGTCTGGGAGCATAACATGGGCGTGCCTAACTAATCCCGCTGCTTTTGCCGTGTTGAACGACTGTCCCCTCGGCTCCCGACGTTGATGTGTCGTGTGGATCGAGAGGACCCGTCGCTATCCAACCTCTTTGCGCTACCGCTTCCTACCATAGCGGGTGAGCCAAAGTACATTGGAGCCAAGTCACAATAGTGTTATTCGTTCTTGTTTGCTTCTCATATCCAATTGTGACTTGCGGGATAAGGCTATAAGAGCTGAACCACGTCGTTCCTCTCCTTGGGGCCCAATTTCCAATCCCCGTTGACCCAATGACACCGGATCGAAAGATCGTGAGCCGTGGTGTTTGCTCTAGATAAGCTCTGGCTTAAACCGTTTATCGTAAAGCCATACTAGCTTGGCCATGACTTAAGCTTGTGCTCAGCAAACCACCACTTGTGATTCTTTGGCTCGAGGAAATCGGACAACCGCCGAGAGGGCTAAGTCGTGTATCTCTTATTTCCTCACTGGTGTTATTGGATTTTCCTGCGTCTTGTCGTCTTTTCGAGCGTTGAGTGCTCTCTTGCCTTGCGTGTCGCTTCGCGGAGTAGCTGACGATCGGACCAAGAGAACGTGGACGACGACAAGGACTGTGGAATGGAGTCAACACAGGAGGAGACCCCACTAATGGAACGCCAATGAATGGAGAATTGTACCACCACTACCTCTACATCGTAGGTGTCATGGCAGCACCCTCTTTTAGAGAATCCTATTAGACATTGCATAATATCTAGAACTGCTAGCGCTTTATAATTATTCCTTTGCTAGAACTTTGATGCATGCTACTACCTGAGCCATTATTACCCTGATGCAACCCACTCTACCATGTCACCCTGCTTTGCGCATTCGCTTGCTTATATATGCTTACTTGCCTGCTTGCTTGCATATTATACCACTATACTTATTATTAACTCTACTTCGCATTATGTCGGGGATGTGATGCTAGTGGTGAACCCCCTGGGAATGGTTTGGCTAGGGGTGCCGGGCTTGGTGGTGTGTGAGCGTGCTGCGTGTGTCTTGGGTGCGTGGAGAGTGAGGGTTGTGTCGACCGAGCTGGAATAACGACGAGCCTGGGGCGAGTCTTGCCATGTGGTGCTACCTGGGAACTTGTATATGGAATACCTGTGGCGGGTAAATGATAATTGGAGGTGGCCTTGGGTGTGAACCTCGGAGAGGTGGAGCCCGGGGTGGAGGTGCTGTGGTGGCACGGTAAATGGAAACCCTGATGAAGACATTCTGGCTTGGTCACCCCTAAGGACTTACTAGTACTCAGATTCATCGGGAATCCTTTACATCCCACTCGCCCTATATGGTGCGAGACGGTCGGACTACTTGGTAGAGCGATGTCACTACTGCTAGGCGAACGTGTGCAAGGAGGTACGGGGTGCGCGGTTTCCCCCCACACCCTTCCGAGACTTCAGGAGGCCTTGTGGACTGACTCTTGACATCCGGTGGGCCCCGGCTCTGTCTACGACTCACAGTATCAGCCATCCCAGACTAGACTTGGGATGTTCCAGGGCTGAGATGTAGGGTGGCATCGTTCTAGGCTAGCAAGCTACTGGAATTCTGCCTAGGAGAGCAAGACTCCAAGGATGGCTAATCTTGTGGGTATGTAAAACCTCTGCAGAGTGTTTTGTTGATCGATCGATACATATGCCGACTTATCTGCTATGGACCTTTCCTGGGTTTCGCTTAAACTAGATAGGAGATGAGTCATTCTATTCTTCCTCCAGGGTTTGGGGTATTTTCCGGTCGTGAGCCTTAGGAGCTGCGGGCCGTTGAGACAAGGCCGAGAGGGAGTTGGCCTATCGACCTGAGTGTGAGATGAGATAAGGTGTGTTGTGTGGAGATGGTTTGGGATGAATGGTTGGAGGATGGATATGGATGGATGTGGATGTGTGTGGCTGGGAATGTGTTAAAAACTGGACATTATTATTATATTACTATTGTTACTTACTTCTCATGCGCTAAGGATATAAACCACAACCAAATGTTAGGATCGCCAGATCCTCTTGTTTTATCTTTTCCACTAAAGCTCATCGGTGCTGACCATGGCCTTATACATCTCTGGCGGTGTACAGATTTTCTTGCTTCTCAGAGATGCTGACTATATAAGGATTTGGAGGTCTCGTGCCTACGCTCAAGTTTGGTTCGAAGATGGAATCTATGCTGCACTACGCTAACTCTGATGACGACCCGTGAAGGGAAAGCCTTCACTCGATAGTCTTTCGCTAGATTAACTCTATAATAGATGTGTTCTCCAGTGATGTAATATCTTGTATTCTTATAATCTTACGATGTATGACTGTGATATCGACTGATATATGATAATATGATGGAATCAACTATCGATTTCATCATATTATAATTCATTCTGTGGATTTTCCCTTAGCGGAAAATTGAGGATGTTTCAAATACCTATGACTCAGTTCTCATTAAAAACACCGTGTTTGTAAAATGTTCACACAAATCTTCCTTTCATATCTAACGTGTGTGCTGTGCACAACACCTCCGTTGGATCCAGCCAGACAGTCTCGAGCTACACGGATTTGCCGCAAAACAGCGTACGTCAAGCTCAACTTGAGCTAGCCATCGCTTGGACGTAAGAAACACCAGGATGTTATGCGCTGGTTGAGCCTCAATCTTGACCGCTTGAGTACGTCAGCTGCAGAGAACAGAAGGGTGGTGGTAACGTAGTGATGACCAACACCAGCTCCACTACTCCACATATCTTTTGTTTTCTTGCAGAAAGACCAGGGTGACTACGTGCTTTCCTCATCTTCACACGCTCACTACAAATGGTTCCAGTTGTACTCTAGCTGATACACCTGTACCTCCTCTCGTCAACGATCTATTTAATTAGGAGTAATTAACAAAGGCAACGAACTCATCAAGCACGTAGTTCAAATGGAGGGGAAAAAATCACTTGCCAGGGTGAGTGGTATCTTTTTTTTGAAGAGGATTTCATTTGCACTGACACAAATCACAACAAAAGCCTTCTCTGATTTGAAGTTATTTTTGTACATCTCGATCAACTCTCTCTCTCCACTTACTCCAAACTCTTCCTATGTACTCTCTCGCCGGAACGATCGTCTCTCGATCTTCGCCGGGGCACGACAGTATCGTGTCTCGAACGAGCACCTTGGAAGCTCGATCCCTGGCTCCTGACGACCCAGATCACGTTCGAGATTTTGGTTGCGAGTTCATAAACCTTGCGACCTTTGATCTTTCAAGAGCAAGGATAATCAGCAGAAAGCTTCTTTTTTTTCGCCGTTCATTCATCAGGCTCATCGATATGCGTCGCTCAGAACGCGCAGCAGTAGTAGATGAACCGCCGCCACGCGTTCTTCCTCTTCCTGGCGCCGGCGGCGGCCGCGACGGCCGCGGCCGCGGCGGCCTCCTTCTCCGCCAGCGGGACCGGCCCGTCCGTCGCCCTCAGCATCTGCCACATGACGTGCACGTCGTGGTACTCGCACGTCCGCACCTCCTTCCTCAGCTTCCTCAGGCCTGCATTCATAAACCCATCCGTAAGTCGATGAGAAACGATCAGAACAGGCGAACAGCATCGACGCCGGCCGCCACTTGGCGACTACGATCGACGGCTGAGAGGGAGTAGATCATTCAGAGCGAGGCAGCTAGCAAACGTACCGGTCTTTCGCCGGAGGCCGATGCGCGCGGCGATGCCGAGCCAGACCCTCTTCACCGACACGGCAGCTCGGTCCGTGCACATCTTCCTCGATCTCCTGCTGCTTAATTTCTTGCCGGCGGCTGGATGATGATCTCCTCTCGTCGATCCTTGGCCTCTCCTCTCGTTGTGTCCTTGCAGTTCTCACTCTCTCCCTGGGCAATATAATCCCCAAATCACTCGCCGCCTCCGCGATCCGCGCCACAGATCGAGAAGCCCTGAATCGGGAGAAGAAACCACTACTCCTGGCAGCTGCTTCCTGCTGATGGATGAGAGCCTGAGCCGAGGCTGGTCAGGGCCGGGACCTTTTATAGCCGAGGCGGTAGCGGCGCGGGGGAAGGGGAGTGGCCGAGTGGGGGGACAAGGGAGATGCGCGTGCGATCCGGGGGCTTTTCGATCGGGGGGAGTCGGCGCGGCGCGGTCGTCCGATTTGGACGCGCGAGCAGCACGGGTTGGTCGCTGTCCGCGGCCGCGCCCCAGGTGTCGCTGTCCCCGGCTCGCGCGGGCTTCCGCGCGGGTTCCCTCGGGATCCTGGCGTCTAGCGGGCTGCCGCAGTGCCGCGTGAGCGATCCCACGGCTGGGGCGCGCGTGAGCTGGAACCTGCTCCGCGGAAACTCGAAAAAATGAGAGCCGAGGCCTTGGTTTTGGTTCCCAATTTTGGTGGCGTCTGGAAGGCCGCTGCTACCCCGCTACCCGAGATTTTTTTAACTTTTTTTTAAACTAATTTTAAATCTAACATCATTTTTTTCTTCAAAACTAACATTTTTGGCAGCGTCTATTGCTATGGCGTGGCGAAACGCCTATGCCGCGTCATGCATGGTGGCGCGGCAGGAGGATGACATGGCGACGACCGGGGCTGCTGACCGGTGACGTGGCAGGGTTTGCCGCGCCACCGATCTTGGCGCGGTAGTGATGCGCCACGGCGCATGATGCGGCAGTACCTGGACGCATACAGAAGATCGGCTGCTGTCGGTGAGGATCGGCAGTGACGCGACCATAGACCCCGGCTTCCTCGACCCCTCGCCGGTGGGCTCTGACCAGGTGCTCTAGTCCGACATGAGGTCGCGTAGCACGGTCGACTACTGCGCGTCTAACTAGGTGCCTTCTTCGACGATTTCGTGGCGGCGATGACCAAGCTCGGGAGGATCGGGGTCAAGACGCCGGCCACCGGCGTCGAGATACGCCGGGACTGCCGGTTCCCGAACTAGTTGCTACTTAATCTCGCCGGCAGTGCTGTCGCGACGCATTGAAACGAATATGAAGCAAATAAATTAAGTCCGTGCGCAAGTTGACAAGTTGTCACAAAACATTTTCATTGGTTTGACGTAAGTTCGACATAACATAACCAACTAAGTCTGCAAATTTCGGACGCCAATATTCGTTCGACCTAACAAACTAAGACCCAGGAGTGTAAGGATCCCTTGTACATCTCTATCTCTTCGGATTTGTTAGCAACACATTGGGAGTGTAGCCAATGTCGGTGTGGTCGCGTTGCCGGTGTGTACGACTAGTACCCTGCAAGTATATGATATGCACGATTATTTATAATCTTTATAATCGTTAGTTCATGGAGTCTACGTATTTAAAGAAACTACCTTTGTTAGTACCTGTGAGGCTTCTTGGATACCAAGCGGGGCACCACCTAGCTGAGATATGTCGATCTCGTCCTGCGGCCAATCGTCCCACTGGTCGTGCTGTCTGCGGAAGCCCAGGGGGTCATCGTCGTCATCGTTGTCCTCGCTTGCAGGGTCCTTCTCAGTGCTATGATGTGGTGGTGTACGCACTGCGGAAGTGGCACCTGTCGCCGGCTGAGAAGAGCTGGCTGGTGTCCTCAAAGAGGCTGAAGACGTGCCACCCGACCACGCCGGGAGTGACGGTTCCACCCAAGGAGTGTCCATGCAGCTCAACTTCTGAGCTAGCTTTCTGCAGCTCTTCTTCACCTTCTGCATAAATAGACGTTAAAGTTAGTGCATTTCCCAAACGCATATACACTAAAGAAACATTTTCGGAACGGACAAGTTTATGTTTACCTCCACAAAAGCCTCGAGAACGCCTGACCCCTGCCCTATAGACTCGTGAAACCGGAACGCTGCTTCATTGGACATCCTTGATAATTGTGTCGCCTAGGTACAGAAACGCGGTTGGACAGTTTTAGTACACATACTTAATACCAAATGGATAACAAATTATACTATTCAATTTTCTTACCATATATCTTTGAAGCGGGGTTCTCTATAGCTGTGTGTCCTCCCTAGAGGCAATGTCGTACACAACTTCGATCACATCTTCCTCCGAGTCCTCGTCAATCGCCTCCTTAGTGTACGGGGGCTTGATATGTGTCCTCGTAGACTTGTGAAGTCACTGCAGGTACTCGTCGAAGGAGTGCTGGTCGTGTGGAGGACCCGCATGGACCGGCTGCCGTTCCCTGTTCTGCCACAAGTGGATGTGCGCGTTGTGTGTTACGCGCCAATCATTGGTCTTGTACCTCCTCCTGCTGTCATACCTGCAACAAAACAATGTTAGTTGTACCACATACACTTCTGAATTGTAGCTTTGTTATTAATCGATAACGCACCCGTGTAATTCTTGGTTGGTGGAGTAAAGCGGTGGTGGACAGCCTGTCATTTTTTCAAACTGTCTGCAGACCCTAATGGGCAAGTGAATCTCGACCACGTGGAAGAAAATAAGAGGGACATTGCAGCAATACTCGTCTGACTCATCCCTAGTGATAGGACTGAGATAGTACTGGAGCTCTGGAGCATCCCAAGGACACCAATGCACCTGAACATTTCGTAATTGAGTTAGGTTGTGATATAGTGTACATCGAATAAGACACATGTATGATAGTAAATAGAGCGTAACTTTGGTATGCTGTGTTAGGGACGTCCGAGACCGTCTGTACTGTACTCCCATGGGGGCGGATCCAACGGTGGGGGGGGGGGCTCGAGCCCCCTCCTACCCATACCGGAGCTGTGGAAAACCCTGTAGAGCCCCATGAATTTTTAGGCAAAGTTCTATAGTGTAGGAGGGCTGAGACTTAAGATCGAGCAATATATGTTGTTCAGTCCCCCCTAAAATATTTCCTGGCTGTACTTACGCCTCGCATTCCCTCTAACTAACTCTGCTTCCGTCCAGATATACAAAGCTGTATGAAGTGTATCCTACCCGTTCCATTGCTGCATTAAACATGATAATAAATTAACCATTAATAATTTCATCATATGTAACTGCATCGAAGAATATAGTGAACCGAATTACTTACCGGTAAACCAGTATTAAGGGGCCTCCCAACGGGCTATCGTTCCCAACACCAAACCTGGAGTAGGTAGGAGCAACCCCTAAGGTTCGCATACCCTGAGGTGCGACGACAGGCAACGCATAGCTGTCGATACGTCCATGCCAGGACTGCGCTGCCTCAGCTATACGCCGCTATGTTCTCCCACGGCTAACGTAGTATGTCAAGGAAGATTCAGCTGATGGTGTTGTCCGAGGCGTCTGAGAAGAGGAAAGCGCCAAGGAAGTGCCAGAGCCACACTCTAGTGAACCTGTCGATCTGAGCCTCCTCAGCCTGTGGGTCCAAAGTAATCAAAGCGCTCTGTGATCCAGGACGCCGAAACACCGGAACTTTTCCTGAAATTCACCAAAGAAAATGAGACCCGATGACTGTAGGAAAGCAATGCAAGTATTAAATAGGCTTCAATTACTCACTTATTTTTCTTTGAAATCTCATCGTCCGGTGGAAGAAAGCCAGTGAACTGAGCCACCAGCTCCCTCCAATGATCATTGTCAACTATACCCATCACTGAAAGTCCTCCCAACCGAAGGCCAAAGATAGCCTTCACGTCCTGCATGGTCAAGGTCATCTCGCCGCAAGGTAGGTGGAACGTGTGGGTCTCAGGCCTCCACCTATTATAAGAATAGAACAACTGTTAGTTGACTCAAATTTGTTATAAGAATATTTACGTACAAAGAAGGCACTCGCACCTATCTACAGCTGCAGTAAGTAGTGCTGGGTCAAGGGGCGGAAGATCGTAGTTGACAACACGGACAAGCTCGAGTACCGCGTAACGGTCGTCCCACTGGTGCACCCTGGTGTACGTGCAGGGCCTCAAAGGAGGCAAGGCCACCTCTGCGTCGGTGTCACTCAAGATGTGTGCTCGGTGCTGGTCGTTGTACTCCACCTCAAGAATGGGATACAACGGGTGCTGCGTGAGATGTGCCATCCTGTTACCAATTGATAAACAAAGGATTAGAGTATATAAATTAACAATATTCAAATTAACATTACGTAGCATTGTAAAATTTGAACTACTTGTTATGCAATACGAACACAATATGAAAGCACATGTATATATTAAAAGTAACATTAACAGACATATTAAACAACTTCACTAGGAAAATAAACATTTGACGAAACTTCATTAAGTCATCCAAATCGACGTATCACGTACTACTAAGTACCGACACTTGAAAACTAGTATCTATACCCAAAATCCCTAACTAAATAACTAACTATAAACTAAATAATAAATACCTAATCAATCCATAAACCCAAAATTCTAACTAACAGTAGCCTAAACCCTAACTACCTAACCAAACCTTAACTATACTACAACATACAACCTTAAACCTAAAAACTACCTACCTAAATCACAAACAAATTCACTAACCTAACTATCCTAAATCACTAACCCTAACTATTCTAAATCACTAACTATCCTAAATCACTAACTATCATAAAACCCTAACTATCCTAAATCACTAACTATCCTAAATCAATAACAATCATAATAACATGAAATCGAGAGGGAGGTACCTTGATATGAGCGGGCGGCCGTGACGCGCCGGCGTTCGTGGCGCGGGCGGGCAAGCAGCGGGCGTCCGTCGGGCGCGGCAAGGCGGCATATGGCGGGCGGCGGGCGCTTGCATGTCAGGGCGGCGGGCGGGGGGCTTCGCCGCGATATTTATCTGGTCCTGCTGCGCCATGCGCCGTGGCGCGTCAGTGCCGCGCCAAGATCGGTGGCGCGGCAGACCTTGCCACGTCA